TGCTCACAGAAATAAAAACCGTTAGTGGCACACCTTCAGTGCAATGCTATGATTACATGGCAACTGTAGCTGGCCTGCACCAAACTTGTCTGAGCCCCACAAAGAGCAGAAGTAGTCATCTGTACCCACTGGGCTACAAACAGCTGCAGGCCCAAACAAACGTGGCATCCCTTCAGGCTGCCATAAAGCACACGTTTCTTTCCAAAGTGGTCTCCATCCCTCACAATACAAGGTCTGGGTCTCACAAAAGCTGGGCCCCTGCCTTCAGCAGGCTCCAGCTTCAGGCTCTCTTTATGTGCCCAGACACGTCCCCTCCATGTCAGAGGCAAATCTCCCCTTGCTTCAGCTTGTTATGGATTTGGTCAAGCCTGGTCTTGTTTCTTTTGAAGTCAGCAGGAAAACTCTAATGGTGGGGGGAGACGGACGGGATAATGTCTTCTTCTTGATTTCTGGTTTCTTTTAAAAGTCAGATTAATCTTGTGCAATGCAATCCTAAAACCTACGCTCAGACTGGCCCCAGCCCTTCAGCCTCTAGGTTTAATCTCTGGAGTTTGCATCCCAGAGTCCCAGCAGCAGCAGCAAAAGCAGCTGCCAGCATCCTGGGAATATCTGCCTTGGAATCTCAACTACTGTGTGAAGCTGCTGCTCTCCAGTTTGAGAGCTGTGTTTGCAAAGGAAATCTGTCCAACAACAACATTGAGAGAGAGGAAAAAAAGGAGGAAAAAGAGCTTTATATAACAGAATTAACAGAGCTGTTGCAATAGTAACATGAAGTTAACAGGCAGCTTTTCCTCCTCTCTCTCCCCCTGCCCTAACCCTCTTTCTCCAGCAGCAGTTTCAGTTGTTTTTGTTTCCAAGCTTCTTTTACTGGCCACTCACACAGCTCTGCTCCCTTTGTCTAATTTGGATCTTGAACCTCCATACAACCGACTCTTGCTGTAACTGTAAATCTTTTTATGGCCCTTCTGCCTCTGAACTGTAAAAGCAATGCCACTGTAAGCTGCCTAAATGGGTCGTAAATCCACTTAGTGCACTGAATGAGGAAAAAAGTTTTTAAGGAAAGAAGGGGAAAAAAAAAAAAAGGCAACCTTAGGAGGCTGGAGGGACGCAGGGGAAAAAAAACACAAGAATGTATTTGCTGAATGGAACCAAAATAACAGGAGTCAAAGGGAAAATATGAATGTTTGGGGGGGGAAAAGGATGAAATAATGCATCCTGGTGGTAAAAACATAATGCTTCTGAAGAGCTGCTCCATTTATTAGTGCTCAACCATTTACGGGAGGATGTTGGTTGCCCTCCACTCCTTTGGCATTGGTGGGAGCTGGTAGCCACAGGAAAGCCTTGGAGACAGCCAGCAGCTTAAGGCTTTCCCCTTTTCCACTGGGTGGTCCATGGACTCATAGCTGGGTTTGATTCTAGCTCCACGCACGGCCTGCCTGACACACAGCCTTAATCTAATCTAGCCTAATGGAAGCTACACACCTCCATTTGTTTATCTGTAAATGAGAGATAGAGATATTCCCCTTGTTTGTAAGATAATAGTGCCAGGCAAGAGAGAGAAGTGATTCCTATGGTGGTCAATAGCAATGGTTCCATTTGTGGCCGCAGAAGAAGAGCCAGTCCAAAACAGGCAACTTTTTTCTATGTAATTTACTGTGTTTATCACCATGGTATCTGAGCTCTGAGAGTATTATCCAAATTCCAGTGATTTCAGGGAGCGTCTTTCCACTACTTTCAAATAAGTTTTGGATTTGACCCCAAAGTCACAAAAAAACTGAAGAATATGTCAAAAGAATGTAAGTGGGTGTGAGTTGAAATTGAGGAGTTTGGAAACTGGAGTATGCAGAACAGTAGCTATTTAAAGACTGAGTTTGCTACCGAGTGTTCGCTTTTAATAGGGTTATATAAATACATTCCCATCTCAATATATGTGGAAAAACAGGCAGTGAGGTGAGACTCTATTGCTTTATTTCTTATGGGAAATTTTGTGCATAGCTAACCCACCTCTTCCCTTTCCTCACCCACCACCCACAGTCACTGGGAGCGCTCAGCAGCTGTGTACAGTGTGAAGAGTCACATCCGGGAGCAGGGCGAGAGTTAAAGAGTTCACAGCCCTGCCTTATAATGAAGCCCCTGTTTTCATTGCCTTCCTACTCTGCCTTAAAGACTTGATCTGAGTTTTGGCACTCATCATGTCAGAATGGGAGGGCAGACAGGCTATGCCTTTTGTTATTATTATTTTGTTGCTCTGCTCTCTTGCAAGGAAAAGCGGTGATTGGGGTGGGAGGGAATAAATTTTAAAAAAAGTTCTTGCTTGGCTCTGTGAAAAGAAGAAATGAGGCTCAGCACAGGTGTGTCTGCAGAATGCCTCTGCCAGGACAGGCACCAAGAGGCATCTGATTGCCATTCTCACAAAAAACATCAGCGGCCAAAGAGGACCGAGAGGTGAACCCCATTCTTTGTTCATCCTTACTGTATGTGGGCACGCTGATAGTTCAGGCCAGGGGATGCTGACACTGGACTTAAAAGAACCCTATTAAAATGATGGAAATCTTTGACTATGAAAAATAGAGTCTGCACCTGGACAGTAATTATGTTTCAAAGGAAATCCATCTGGTATTTTATTGCTTGTTCTCTCAATGTACTTCGTGTACAAGAACAATACGGGGACTGGAATATTTCATATTAGGAGGCTTCCAAAAAGCTGTTTACACCCTGTCAGGTCAATAAGCTACACAGATTTTTGCAGTATTATCTCAATTATGGTTAACAATTGAAATACACATTTAAAAAAAAAATCTTCCCAAACACTGGCATAGGCCCTTGGAGCAGACAGACTCCTGCAAACCCCACCAAACTCCATGAAGTTCATATGCTCAAGAAGCAGTTAAGATTTCAGTATCTGGAAAGAGTTAGAACTACAGCTGACGTCAAGTGAAGTTTACCTTTGCCAACAGCAGAACTAGAGCAATCTGCTTGTGCTGCAGACCAACCCCTGCCTGCGTGCATTGAGGGACTCAAATCACAGAATCATTAAAGTTCAAAAAGACCTCTACGATCACCACCTCCAACCCCAACCCATCCCACCATGCCCACCGACCATGTCCCTCAACACCACATCCTTACAGCTCTTGTACACATCCACCACCTCCCTGGGCAGACCCATCACTGTTCTTTCTGTGTAGAAATGTTTGAACCTCTCCTGGCGTAACTTGAGGCCATTCCCTCTTGCTCTGTTGCTGTTACCTGAGAGCAGAGGCCAACCCTCACTTACCACAACCTCCTTTCAGGGAATTGTACACAGCAATAAAGTCTCTCCTGTGTTAGTAATGCCAGCCTTGAGCTGGATTGGGCCTGTCTGTGTGCAAACACCCATGCAGACATACTTTAAAGAGCACTTTTTAAAATGGAAACAAGATATGGTCCATCAGAATGGACAACCAGTCTTTAAAGACCTTGGGAACCCAAAAGCAGTCTTGCAATTAAATCATGTAAGTCCAGAACAACTTGATTACAAGGCAACCTCTTTTTGTTGGCAATGCTAGTGAAATTATTAATTCTAGTGAATATATCTCAGGCCTCAAGATGACTGATGCTTTCATTACAGCCCTAGCCTCAGCCATTAGGTGATTGTTTTGAATCTCAACTTTCATTTTTCAAAGTTTTAGCTGTCACCACTGAAGGAAAAGGTATTCAAATTAAAAAAATGAAAACTTAAAAGTAAAATAGAGAAAAAATTGTAAAGTAAATCCCTGAGAAATACAGGAGTCAAATTAGAAAAAGAAAGAAAGGAAGAAAGGAAGAAAGGAAGAAAGGAAGAAAGGAAGAAAGGAAGAAAGGAAGAAAGGAAGAAAGGAAGAAAGGAAGAAAGGAAGAAGGAAGAAAGGAAAGAAAGAAAGAAAGAAAGAAAGAAAGAAAGAAAGAAAGAAAGAAAGAAAGAAAGAAAGAAAGAAAGAAAGAAAGAAAGAAAGAAAGAAAAAGATTACAATAGATATTATTTCCTACATATCCTGAAGTTCTAGTGATCACATCTGAAGGCTAGAGCGGACATTTCTGGATAGCTGACAGCAGCAAAGTTATCTCTGAATGAAACCAGAGTAACAGAATTTGCATATGATCTACATTCGCCTTAAAATTGTGCAACCTGTAGTAGAGAAGAAGGAATTATCACAGATTTATTTTTCACTTCTGATGCTCATTGCATCTTGTAGGAGATATGAAATCTGGCAAGGAGTTGGCATTTATTAGCACATATGAATTCACCAGGAATGTTTGGTCTTGCTGTTAGAGCTCAGCTCTAGAACACAGAAATATGCCAGAAGCTGAGCTGAGCTTTTAAAAGTAAGCTTAAAAAACATGTATTTCTGCCGAAAAAGCTTCACAAGTGAAGCAATTGCACACAGAAAGTTGAGAAAGCAGGAATTGAACATATCCTGGAATATTCTTTTCAAAAACGTATTTCATTATTTCTAAGATTTGGAAAGACTGACTCAAGATTTCTAAATACTTGGATTGGAAATGCTGCTACTAACTGGCCATCATTGTTTCACACAGCATCATCCAGATCCAAGGGCAGATTTCAGTTCCCTCATTACATTTCAAAGAGTTGATTTATTGAAACAACTTGCAGAGTCATACTTGAGTAACTGAGATCCAAGAGCAGATGTTGGCACTCAGTCTCCTGCCCATACATTCTGTGTAAGTATCACTGAGGGCCCTGAAAGACCAAGCACCCCAGGCCACTGCAACAGCTTTTGGAGTGTTCAGGTATGAGATTTTGCTATAAACCATGCCCTGTGACCCTGCCTGGTGCAGATGAGCCCAGGCCCCTTAGGAGAATTGAATGCTGGAGATTCTAGACCTTGGCTTCTTCCACCTGATTTATGCAGCTGTGAAATTGTTAAGTTGCACAGCATTATCCTGCAAACCACCAGGACATGTAATGAATCCAACAGAGCATCAATCAGTGCATCACACTGGGCAAGGTGGCACAGACTCACCTTCAGAATGCTTGGAGCTGAATGTGGGGCAGCGACGTTGGCTCAGGAGCTTGGACTGAAGTGGTGAAGCAAGGCAGGGAAGTGCATGGTGGGCTCTCGGCAGGGCTGTGTGCTGGCTATGCTGCATGCCTGGGTCCGTCCCTGCTGTGTGCCACTGCCTGCTGATGGAGCAACACTGTTGTAAGGTCATGCTGCAGAAAACAAAATTCCAAGAGATGTTGACAATGTTTCACTTATTGCAGTTTTCAAGAAGGTATTCCGAAATATTAAAGTTCAGACAAGCCGCTTTTTCTTTCCTTAACCAGGTATGGAAAAGAAAAGAGATGTGGATAGAAGAAAGTGTCTAGCTCGGAAGTGCTTCTTCGTTTCTGTTTGTTTTGCTTTACTCCTCTTTCCAATGTTTAGGATGGGGACAACTTCTTTTGGAGTTGGTATTAACTTTCTTGTTCATGTCAGTTTACTTTGGATCAGATTCCTAAATTCACATAGGCAAACTCAAACACCAATTTAAATCCACACACAACCGACCCCATGCTATTAAAGCAAAAAATCCTCCTCTCAGCTTGAGGAGAACCTGCTGTCGACAAACTCCTTCCCCTCTGAACCATAACCTTTGACTCGTCCTCTGGGGGAGAAGGGAGAAATGCAATCAGGTGCAGAATGCCAATGCATCCCTCTGGGGTGATGGACTTCCCATTTCCAAGCAACCATTAAAAGTGCCATATGGAATTTCATGTTTATATGAAGCAAAAAGAAATAGGAAAACCCAACTGCGAACACATGCCGTGTGTTACATCTGCCTGTGAGCACAGGGTGTATCTGAGCCTTCTGCACTAGAACGAGCTATGGGATGCTCAGCACGCCTGGGTGCTCGTACACTTTATTATTATTATTTTAACTAAGAAACTAGCTGCTCGGTTCATTTGAGGAGGGTATGGCTTTGAGACAGATATGAAAATAATCTGAAAAATATGAGAGCCAGGCAATGGAACTTTTCCAAGATTGTATGAAATATTAGGGAAGTAAATGGAAAACTTTCATTTTCCATCAAGTATTCCACAGCAAACTTAGGTTTCTCAAGCTTACCTCCACATCCACATTACAAATGAAGACTAATTGCATTTTTCTCAATATTTTTCTACAGATATAAACAGTTCAAGTCCCCTCACTTCTACCAACAAGTTTTCCTACCTCTGAGGCCGCCCAGCAGCCGAGAATCCAGCACTCATGCCAGGCACTGCTGGGCTACGTGGAACTGCTGCAGCCCAGGGACCTCTGGAAATGAAGACGAAATGAAGCTCTGTTGTGTGCTGCACTCTGATAAGATTTTGCCCCCATTTCAGCGTGACCCAATAGCTTTAAATTGCTCCATTTCTCAGCCAGCCAAGAGCAAATGGGTGGTAGATGTGATATGGCTTTCACAGGAAATCACTCGTGATTGATTTAGCTTCTCCTCCTTGGTGGTATATGGGCTCAGCCTATGGCACAGGCACATAAATTATATATAGGACGCCTTCCATGGTTCTGTGCAGTGTACAAGTTGTCACCCCATCAGGGGAAGAATCTCTTTATGAAGTAATATATCCAAGTGTACATGGAATAGATATGGCCACTTTCAGTTGCTCAACAAAAATAAAGTCTCATTTCAAAATAAGAACTTTGAATCAGAATAAGGCAGAACCAAGTAATTTCAATGAGTTTTAGTTAAACAAACAGAAAATGCTGCTGGCTGTAAAAAGAAAGAGTGCACTTTCAAGAGTTTTTGTTTGTTTTCAGAAAGCTAATGTGGGCTGTGAAATTCAAGCAAAGTTTCCATTAACAAGATTTCAACAGTTTGAGTTCTGCTTTTGCCTCTTTGAAAGAAGATCCAAAGACATTTTATTTTCATTTTAATGTGTTTACAGAAGAAAATATCTACTAGCACTGTTACATTGTTATGTCTGGGGGATGAGTAACGAGATATTGGAGAATTATTCATAAGAATCATTTGTGTGATTTATACAGAGTTTCTTCTGATTGGAACAAGGACCTCATTTTGCAGTACTCTCAGTTTCTACCCACAGGCAGAAGTAGCACAGAGGAGAACACTCACGTGAACCTAGATTAAAGACAACGGAGATTAAAATCACTGAATGGAGCTTCAAGATACAGTGTAGTTTTGGCTCAGGTTTTGCAGCACATGTCAGTGGGGTCCTGGCTTCAGACTGCCTTTCCCAAGTGGTGCAGCATCGAAAGTCGTACGGAGGGAGGGAAGAAGGGGGACCCCTGACCAAGCGGAGAAGGCCTGAGAACCTGACTACGATAGAACAGGAAGGCTGGGAGAAGAAAAGGGAGGGATGCATTTTGCAAGCCTATGCTCAACAGGTGCATTATCCTGCTGGTAGATACGGTTTTCAAACAGGTCATTTGGACAAGCATGCAAAACAAAACTGTTAGACTCATCTGAATACTGCAGTTTTTAAGACACCCATAGTCCATCTAGCTCTGAATATCATGTCTCAACATTATTTTTCATCTTTAAGCTCAAAACTTTGAAAGCACCCCAAATGGGCGTATGTTTTTCTGCTTACCCAGGCAGCTCCCACTGAAGACAATGGAGATTTTTTTTCCCCAGGCCAGGCTAGGGTTTCAGGACTTGGACCTATTTTAGTACCTTAATGTTCCTCCAGTTCTGAAATGTGCTTTGCTTGCTTGATTGTTGTAATGTAAATAGAACACAACTGCTGACTGCAGAAACCCTGAAGAAAGTCACCAGCCCAACAAACACCTGATATTTAATACTCATTAGCAAGATTCCACTGTTCATACTACTTTAGAGGAAGCAAGAAGAAAAAATTATATATTTCAACCATAATACATGAGAACCCAATGCAATACACAGCAAAAAGGCCACCCTTTTAAACCTCTCTCAGAAATCTCCACAAGTCCCACAGGACCCCAGCCAACCTGCCCCAAGCTTCCCCAGCTAAAGCCACGCACTGAGCAAAGCCCAATTGCCATCAATCTAAAGGCAGTCTTTGATGAAAGCTTGTAACATCAAGGCTAGGGGATGACATATGGGATGTACCCCTTGCCCAGTGCAGGCATTTTTTATCGGCTTCAGCCTTCAGCACATTGCAGCCACCACGCCAGGTGACAGCTGGGCAGCGAGCAGCCAGGGCTGGAGACTGGAGGAGGGAGCTGGACGTAATTAACTGGACAATTGAATGGGTTCTGCCTCTCTGATTTCAATTAACCTCTGAACTTCACAGTGACAAGATCTCATGGTTACCAACTAACTTCAGCAAAAAGCAGATGTTCTAACTGGTTAATCCAGTCCTCAAAAACCATACATTGAGATTTGATTATCTTTTTTTAGATCTCTTAGAGTTCATCAAAAGAAAAGTGAATAACATCTGAAAGACTTCTTTAACACTGTTATTGCATTAGAGTTGAGGTCTGAGTGCTGTATGGGAGTTGGGGGCTGATTCTGTTCGCGTTTGTAATCAAATGCAGAATTCATTAATAGGAGGAAAATGAAGTCAGAAGATCCCACAAAAATACATTAATTACATTAAGAACATGCATTCACAGCCTGCAGAACAGATTAGTGTGCACCAACAGATAAATAAGAAAGAGTGAGATGAGCACAGAGCTAACATCAGAGAATAAATAAATCAAGCTACGATAAGAATAGATTCTACCATGATTCACCCATGTCTTTAGATAGAATGTTTTAGTCTTAAAAGCAGAAGCATTTCAGAGATTCATAATTCCTATATGAATTACAAAGATTTCTTGCTTACAAAAGTGATTATTTAACATTAAAAATGGATCAAAATAACTCGATTTTCCAAATGAAAACGTCTTTCAAATTCATCCATCTTTTCCATTCAGAGTCTGGAAAGAGAATTATTTCACTTGGCCTTTGCTTCCAACACAACTCTTTCACTTAAGACATGGACTGTCTCCAGTTAGTGGGCACATATTTAATTTGGCTATCATGTCTAGGGCTAAGATGGCTAAAGATGATATGATAAACAGTTATCACTCTGCCTATTGGCTTAAATGAATTTGTCCCTAATCTTTAAGCAGCTATAAATGAGAGTCGTATCAGAATTTACGATAGCAGGCTGCACATTTTCATGTACCTGCAGTTACAGCAGCAGGTATGAGACACGTTGAAGGGTACTGAAGCAAAACTAAGTTACTGTGCCAAAAAGATCATAAATATCAGAAAACTTGACCAAGATCTTGTCATTTAAAACAAATGCAATAACCTACAAACAATTGCAAGGCAATTTCATGACAAAAACACAGTTGGTGGTATAGATCATAAACCTATCTTAAAAAATGCATTAATAAAAATCTCAGTTAAAAAAATTATGAAGAAATATTACAGGTCTTTATTATGTATTGTTTCATGCTTTAAATGGTACCATGATTTGTAAAATTAATCACAAGCCTGCAAAACGTTAATTGTAACAGTAAATAATTATTTCTATTGAGTAAGTTCTTCTAAGGTAAATACCACAATCTAGCCTGACATTATACAGCTTTTCTTTCACATAACACATACTTAAATCATAAATAAGAAACAAAATCAAACCTTCTTTAAAGCGCACTATCCAACATCTTGATATTTAAGAAATTTCAAAGGATACATTTATGAAAATCCTTTTTCCATCTTCCAGTGGAAGATGCCTATGTTGTGGCAGTAATGCCCTTCAATTTCTTGCACATTAGTAACCCTATCTAATAGAGTGTGATGTCCCAATGATAGAAGCATCTGTCTTTCCTCCCCTAATCAATAACGTTCAGCTAAAGTTCCTTCTTCCAGCAGCAGCATAAATTATTAGATATATGCAAATAGACTTGCTAATGTTAATTGCCAGGGCTGATTGGTGATTAATTTTTTGATTATGATCAATCATTCTTCAGGAATCTTAATAAGACATTCAAGGCAATCTGCAATTTGACAGTAACTGGGGATCCCAACCCATAACACGTCCACAGCCAACCACAAAACATCTCCGTGACTCCTTATAAGCAAGATTCCCCACTTTGAAGAGCAGAGAAGGGAACAACCAAAGCCTCTGGAGCCTGCAGGGACCGTGTCCTCACATGTAACAAGGAGAGTCTTTTTGTCATATTCTAACAAGAGTGCTCACAGTATGTTCTACTAGATGTGACCATCCTGAATGCTGCGTGCCCTTTGTGCCATAGGAAATGAAATGGGGGCTGCACTAAGCTTCTGAAATTCCATCTTCACGGCTTAAGCCTGCTTTTGCAAAATCTTCCATTTTA